CCCCAAAACCCCAAAACCCCAAAACCCCATGATGAAACAATTTCAGTTAGTTAATAGTGTTTAAATATGAAATACAGTCAAATGATATACGTTATATACATATATAATTATTGAAGAAGTGTGACATAATCTAGTTCATCAACTAATTCATTGCTAGGTGCTGTTTCTTAAATGCTTTCCAGGACTTATATGGGACATAGCAGACTCATTTACACTCATGCCACTACCTAATCTTTGCATTCGATTTTCAAAGGTATCATCCTGTGATCTATCAGTTGAGAGCATAGTCCTAGACTGAGCTCCATAATTTCCATTACCACCAATAATTGAACTATTATTGTTATTCCTTTCTCCTTCATAAGTGTTCTTTATAAATACGCTTTTCCTAATTACCACCATTCGCTATTCATTTTCGTTATTTTAAAGTAATTTCTGCTAGTCTAAAGCAGACATGTTTTTATAGTAAGCAGGAGCTCCTGTGCCTGAGTAAAAGCTCAGCTAGTTATTGCTATTTGAATCCAAATTTCCATTTAGCTTTTATAAGAATGAGGGTAGATAGTCCTTCCTTTTAATTTCTTAACGCTTGATTTATAATGAGACACTTGATATTTGATTGCCTTAATCTTTGTTGATACTAGAGGGGTAATTGCTGTAATGATTTTAAATCTGAGTTAATCTATCATTCGCATAGAGATTAAATCTGTTACTCTGCCTTGAAGTCATTACTCTTGTGCTACTATTGACTACGAGTCTTTTTCGTTTTTCTTATAGCTTTTACATAAGTAAGCGTATATCAATTTTATTGCTATTTTAATCAACATTTTGGAATGGGAGCATTTATTACAAATCTGCCTAGGAATTTTTTACTATTTAGCTTTTTGGATAATTCTACTGGGAGTAATAGAATTTTTAGCTTGCATCGTTTTAAACTCCAATATAATTTGAATCATCATAAGAATTCTACATCTAGTCTGATATCTGGTTTAGAGTGTAAAGCTATGTTGTTCTATCTGATATATCTTAGTTAAGATTCTGAATTATTGATTTGGTATTTTTTAGATTGATGCTTATACTCTGCAATGATTTATTAAGCTTCGGACTAAGTTCATTTGTTATAACTCTTCTTGATCCCTCACCGTAATTATATTTTGAGTTCGAATTATTCTGGTGATTCTACACATATTTACTCTTTAAAAGATCTACTAAAGGAGACTATTTTTGTCTATTTGACTAGGGGGACTTACTGCTTCTATCAGTATCATTTCTCTAGTAAATATTTTTTATTGGGCTCTCAAATTTCCTCTTTGGGTAAGTGTCATTCATAAGAGCTGCCACAAGTGTTTAATTGGCTAGCTTTGTCTCAGTGGATTATTCTTTTTAGGGTAAAACCTCCATTACTGAATCCATTTTTAGAGGCTCGTTCAGCTTAGTATGATAGAAAAAGTTATTGAGCTAGATGTCTTAGGCGCATGAAGTTGATTAATCTGCAAATGTTTTAGTATGAAACTGGCCCTTACTAGCTATTTTTTTACTTATACCTGAATTATCGAAACTGAGGTTGTACTTAGAATCCTCATTATTGTTCCCTGGTTTCTTGATGATTAGAAGATTTTTCAGATTGACATCTATTTCTTGAGTGTTTTCTTTGTAATACTGTAAATTCTTCATTAACTAGTAAGAATTGGAGAAGTTACCATTTTATCTAAAGATAGTGGTGTCTTTTTAAAAATGGTAAGATCTGCTGGTTCTGCCAACTTTAGACCCAGTAAGTCCATTTTTCTAAGATATTCCTTAAAGATAATTGGGCTTATTTTCATTTGAGTGCTATCTTCTATGAGAAGCTACCTAGATTTTAGCATTAATGTATGGAGATGATATTTTATTAGAGTAGACTTCTCTAGACTGAGTGCCAGATTTGTTTGGAAGTATTGAAGTCATATTTATGTATTAATCCTTTTAAATGCTACTAATTTATATTTTTAGACTTTATTCTTGAACTACTATCCTTAGAAATTGATTAAATTGAGTATCTTGGGGTTTTGGGGTTTTGGGGTTTTGGGG